AAACCGGCCACTCCAAGCCGCGCATCTTCGAGACAGTAGACACTGCGCCCGTCACCCAGCGCAAGAAGACTACCACCAAACCAGCTGTCAAGAAGGCCCCTGCCGCGCCTGTTGTCAAGGGAGCCAAGCCCACCGGTGTCACAAAGAAGAAGACAGCCCCTAAGAAGGACGGCCCTGTTGCCAAGGTACGTCCGTTTATGTTGACGGTTCTGGCTCCGTGCCCTTCGAACAAGTAGAAATGCCCTTGGATGGAACGCAGCGCATGATGCCTCAGTCGTAGACTTGGATACGTGCTGGTCATTTCTCATGGCTTCGCGGCTCCTCCTCTGTGACCTCAACGCCCGGGCGCGTCATATATGTGTCTTCACGTTGCATCCTGCGACCATCCTGCGGCACCCCGTTCCTCCCACTCCTGCCGCTACCCCTGCCTCTCCCCGCAGTTGCATTTCTTGAAGTGACAACATGGTGAATGCACCAAGCTGTCAACAGGACTGATCTCTTTTCTTAGGCCAAGACTGCCGTGAACAAGGTCGAGAAAAAGGCTGAAGAGGTGGTTAAGCCAAAGAAGGTGCGAAACCACTCTCCGTACTCATTTCATTGGACCGATATGCCTCGTCATGTGGTCTATGACTCTTCAGAACGCGCTGACTGACATGAAAGCAGGCCACCACTACCAAGACAGCCAAGCCCAAGACTGTCGCCAAGTGATTCCGGACCACCCAAGCCTATGCGTCTGTCCACAAAGGCGTACCATAGCTATATGTACAAAGCCTGTGCTGGCGTGGAAAGCCTTTGGCTGTAACGTCTTTTTTTTTCTCGTCTAACCCTCCCCTTTCGATCTTCTCACGACCGCGCGTCTGTTTCTTTGGCAGGATACCTCGACCCCGATTGATGTTACGGGCTGTTTGTTTGTTGTTTCTAGTGCTTTGCGGCGCCAGGGTTAGCTGCTGAATGTTCATACACCATCTGTTCCAGCTGCAATGGCTCGTGTCATGACTTGCATCTGTGATGTCATTGATGTACATCTCTGAGCCTGGTTCATCCATTTGATATCTACAGCTAAGCTCTAGAGAAACACTGCTTGTTGCTGGCGCTCCATCACATCTGGATAACGCTTGCCAGAGGGAACTATGGAGATCTGGCTCTACAGATGAGAAATCACTCCCTAGGCATCGCACGGCCGCCGGAAGAGGACAATTGCATTTCGCTGACTAGTCAATTTTTCTTAACTGACTGGGCGAGCCACGAATTCCCTGCCTGCTGGAACTGTCGGAAAGCCGTTTCGAGCCAATCCGGAACACCAGTCTACGACAGCCTGCCACACCCACATACGTAGTAGTCGGCGTCATTATTTTCATGGTCTTCCTTTGAGATCGGGATAGTGGCGAATCTTTCCTTTGACAAGTTTTTCGGGACTGGTTACATAATCGCGATCGAGCGTGTAGCCCTTCTTCTCCAATGATGCCCCATCAAGTAGGAGCGCAACTTTTCCAATGAAAGCTTACATATGTTAGTCAACGCTTCTGCGCTGCTCCGGAGTCTGTACACGTACCATAAGAGTCCGAATTCAAAGCTCCCTTGTCTTCGTCTTGGAAAAGAACGGACTTCCAGCCACCAGTTTCGGCCTCTGAAGCATCAGAGTCGTCCTCGTCAGGAGTGTGGTCCTCATGGAGGTATTGCCAAGTATGCGTTAGCTGTCAAATGTCAGTTTTGTTAACCCTCTGGTACTAGCTAGAGCAATGATAACCCACTTCATGGAGGATAATGCAGGACAGCACCTCGAAGTGGTCAATCCTGGCCCCCTTCTTGACCTTTCCCAGCTTGCGCATCTCCTTTATAGTCGCCGGCAGGCGAATTGTCTGAGTTCCCGTAGCTCCTGCCCCTCTCGAACGCGGCATCATAAAATCGTGATGAAGAGAGACGTCGCCATTTGTCGACCGGGGTCGGTGTACGAAAACGCGGTCGTGCGTCTCGGAACGGCCATCAGGCTGGCCCCCGCATACGGGGCGGAGTTGCAGTTGATCCTCCCGACCAACATAATTAATTGTCAAAGCTCCCATAGCCCCTCACCCCTCCGGTCCCGCCGTCCAGTGGGCCGCCGTTGTCACAGAAAAAATCGCACATCGGCCTTCGAGCTTGACTCTCGTCTCCGTCCAGTCGTTTCCGATGCTCGTCATTGTGTCTGCCGTCGTCAGTTCCGTCTTGGCCGTCGCGGACTGTATTGTACGCACTGAATATCACGTTGTAGACCGTGTCCTTGCCATCACCGCCGTACTTTTCCCTCCACTGCCAGCTGCGCTCGATGCCTCGCGATCGTGCCTTGTCGTCATTGAAGATATAGGCGTAGCTTCGCGCAAAGTCCCTGTCCCAGGCGTTGGTGGACGTGATGCTCATGCGGTCCATGCGCTCTGAAGCGCGTTTCCCCATGTCGAAGACTTCTTCGAAGACGCCGCCATCGCGGAGGCTCAGGGTTTTGCCGGGACCGGCTGGGTAGGCGAGGCAGGTGCGGTCTAGCCAGTAGGTGAAGGCGTGCGTGGTGGTCGAGATGAATAGCAGGAGGAACAAGAAGTTCAAGAGGTATTTGAAGCGCATCATGGTGCTAGTTTCGCTGATGCCGCGTGTGAGATTGCTTCGTGCTGCAATAACTGGTTCCAAGGCGTTGTATATCAGAGCTGTTTGTGAGCGTTTTAATGTTTAATAAGTATGAAGGGGTTCTTTCTATTTTTCCTGTAGCCGGGATACATGTCCTGCAGCAGGTGAATTAGATTTACTGTAAATCATTACGACCTGGCTTACGTATGTCCCAATTCCGTTCCCAATATTCACGGATTTCAGTGCGAACCAGTGAATAAAGCTGTGCACAGACAGACATGCACAGCAGGAAAGAATTCTTCAGCACTATCATATAACCTATTAACAGTAATGAGTTCTCGACACGTCACAAATGTCAAATCTACTCAATCGTGCACAGGCTAGACATCGAAACGCCGATAAAGCTGGAGTAAGTCTTGAAATCCGAGAGGTATTTTTTTCTAGCTAATGGCACGTCATCACGACAAATTTATGTTAAGCGCCCCCCCCGTGCTCACCTCCTGCTGCCGCTTTGTACCCCCCTAGGCGGATATTAGGATAGGTAATTAGGGCGAGCCTCGGATGATCGAGGTGACTTACGGGTGACTATAGTGACTCTAGGGTGACTTACTAGAAATTAGCGTAGTCCTACTATAGTTCCGTCTAAGTATTCGATTTCGGTTATATTATAGTATTACTAGCTTTAGTTTACTATCGAGCGCTAAGCCGATTATTACGATACTCTATATATCTCTAGACCTAGCCCTTAGTATTATTACCTATATTAACTTATTAAAAAAGTCTTCTTAGCTATAAAGACTTCTTCTATCTTCTTATAATACTCTAAGAAATAGATAAAACTTTAGAAATTATTACTCGAGCTCGCCTTAATAGCTACATACGTAACTAATATTCTAAGAAAAAGGCTAAAAAGGGTTAGAGGAAGTATATACCCGTAATTATAAAGCGCTAGGATAAAGCCCTTAATCTTATATACTATACGCTTCACCGAGTAATATCTAATCCACTCTCGTACTATAAGTATCCTTTCTAAGCGTTAATATTTATTTCGCCGACGTAAGTAGTTATATAATAAAGAATTTTAAGGCGATAACCCCTAAGAGCCTATATAATCTCTATGAATAGTCCGGGAATCTATACTATCTATCGCCGTACTACTTCTATTACTAGAGGATATTAAAGACTTTATACGGTTTTATATATCCTAAAATATAGGGTATATAACTAAGAATAGAAGGGTATTATTAAACTCGATAAAGAGCTTTATAGAATTCTTCTTTACTAGATTTACTCGCACTATAATAACCGAAACCGACGAGAACGATCGGAGCGAAATATATACTATTAGTATATACCTTACCCCTATATTATAGAAATAAATACCTCTTATTTCTCCTACTCTTTCCCTATAAGGCTAGCTTATAATTCTAACTTAGTATATAGTAATTAAAGGTTATTATCTATTAATAAGATAAGTTAATCGAGAACTATTACCTTTTAAAGTATAATTTTAAGAAGAAAGACCTTAATAGGATATTTATTAGTCTCTAGACTTATACCGACTTAGCTATAATTCCCGAAAAGACCTAGATAAACGTTTCTTTTATTATTTCGTTTTATTACTAGAGCGGGGTAAGGTTAGGGGCCTTCTTTACTAGAAAGGGGCTTTAATATAGGGTAAGTAGTTTACTAAACTTTAAATACTAATATTCTAAGCTAACTTCTAACCTTTTATTATTTTTAGGATATGGAATTAAGCTTAATTAGAGCAGATAACGGTAACTAGGAGTATATTTATAAGATTAATTAACGATAGGTTAAGAATAACTACGACCCTGAAAATATTATAGATATAG